CTTAGTAAATGGCTATTTTTGGAAGTATTTATAATTTATAAGAAAAAGTACAGTTTCAATTGGTGCAATTCGAAATTTGATATACAACATGAAAAAAGATCAAAGAGCATCATCAAACAACTTTTCACAAAAAATTTTAGTCAATAAAAAACAATTGCATTCAACTTCTTAAGTCTAAAAACTCTTAGTCAAGGAAGCATGCAACAGCATTCAACCAGCATGCAACAGCCAAAATACAAAAACTTACTAAAAGACAAATTTAGCTCCTGTTTAGTAAAAAAGACAAAATTCAAAAACTATTAAAATAATGGCATCAAGTCTTTAGTAATAAAATGAATGTTGTGGTTGATAATAGTAAAGGTTGAGTGAAAAAAGCACTAAAAAACAAAGGCGACTGTATTGAAATTTACTAAGCAATGTAGTGGCCCAATGTAGTCACTTATTTGACTGTATACTAAACTCTAAAAGATGCATAGAAATTCTTGGTGATTATCTACCATCTTCATTAGATATTTTTGGAACACCTTGCAAAAATTTTCCAACAGTATAATGCCTCATGTCCTTGCAAAAATCTTCCAACAGTATAATGCCTCATGTCATTGAGCAAATAAAATCCAAAAATGGTTCAAAGAGAATAAAATCAAAACAATGGATTGGCCTGCATACAGTCTTGATCTCAACTGTATTAAAAATTTGTGGTTATGGTTGGACTAACAATCTGCAAAATGTGAAATTTTAAATAAAGATGGATTAATTGAAGCAATAAATGATGTGCTTAACAATGTTCTATCTGAAATTTTCTATAACTTTATTGAAATTATGATGAATTAAGTAGCTAGTAAAAGAAGTTTTACTAGTTTTTAATAACTCTTCGTTTTTTTTTTTGTTTTTTTTTATTTTTCTTGCTTTTGTTTGCAATTGAAAGTATGGTTTTTATTATTTTTCTTTTTGTTAATATTATGTATAATTTTGTTTTTAAATAAATTATATATCATTCGTAGAGATGTAAGTCATTTTTTTGGTTCTTGTTTTTTTGCCAAAAAAACTGAGGACTTCGTTTTTTGGTTTTTTTGGTTTTTTTGCGTTTTTGCCTTGAAAACTACTCTTTTTGCATTTTAAACACTAAAATGGTTTTAAAATTTATTTTTGGTGATTTTTATTAAATACTTGTTTTAATACTTCCATTTACCATATTTTTAGTATTGTCTTAGTTTAGCAATTTTTCAATTATTCAAAAAAAAAAAAAATTTGAAAAAGCAGCATTAATTAGAAAAACAATTTTTTTTTTTAATAATTTTTAATAATAATTCTTATAAGTAAAGACAAAGAAGTAAATTTTTATAAGTAAAGGCCATGAATTGCATCTTTTTTAATATTGAACTGTTTTAAGAATTTATTTTTTCATATATTTTATTATTATATGAATGAAACACTGCATCGCAAAATAAGTCAGATCTGGGAATTTTTGGTGTGGGTGCGAGGGGGAATCGGGGCTTGTTAAAAATTTAGTTTATTTTGTATCACATTTTTGCCTACTAAAAAAAATTTAAAAAATTAAAGATATTTTATAAATTTATGGATTCTGGTGCGGGGTGGTAGGTTCATACCTCTCATTTCCCCTGGATCTGTCACTAGTTTTAAAATTACAAAATCATATTTCAACTTTTTTAACTTCTTCACTTTATGTTCATTAAATTTTTCATTAATCCATAATTTTTTTTTGAATAATAATAAATGTATTATTTAATGGAATGAATCAGAATTATCTAAATAAACATTTTTATTATATGAAAGAAATATATTTATTATATGAAACACTGCTTTGCAAAATAAAAAAAGGTAATCATTTTCATGTTTAATATAAGGAAAATAAATAATTTTTTTGAGGTAAAAATCTTAAAATTTTTTTAAAAAATAAATAACTGTTTAGCCATTTTCCTAATCAAAAAGATAAATATTTTTATACCACTTTGGCTAAACACTCTGTTTACACAAAATAAGTAAACAAATATACCATAAGAGTTTAAAAAAAATCCAAAAAAACCTACACCCAAACCAAAAAAACGTCAAAAAAACCAAAAAAACACCAAAAAACCAAAAAAACATGTTTTTTGGGGTGAAAAAAACGCGACAGCAAAAAAATGCGTTTTTTTGCAACACTAATCTTTCACATGTATTTTTTTTTTTTCAAATTCTTTTTTTACATTAAAAAAATAGTTTTGGTTAATAGGGTTGATTTTCTGTCATATTAATATAAAGTTCATGTGTTTATTTATTTTTGTTTGATTTGATTTTAAATTAACTAGTTCTGTTTGTTAGAATTTAGAAAATGTTTTATAGTCAGCAGCCACTAAAGTAGATGGGCAAGATCATGTTTAATGTATTTGCTAATTGTTTTTTAGAATATCATTTTTTTTTAGTGATTTTTAGAGAAAAGTCATAAAAAAAAAGGTGTTGATACTAAATTTATTTATATAATATTATTCCAAAAAATAAAAATGATAAAGATATAAATTTTGTAACTCAAGACATTAAAATATCTTTAAA